GCTCTGCGAGGTAAGAACGCTGCAATCCTTGGTTAAATGTCCGGTTACTTTATGAATGTCGCAATATAGACTTTCATCACGGACCCAAGTGTTTGATCTTCCTTTCCCTTGGAATTGCTTTCCGACGGTATTGTTGAAGGGTTGCGACCCAAATTTTCTTGGTCCTTTGCTCTCCCTAGGCTCGAACTTCTTGGTAGGGACGGTGATTGCCGGCTTTTCTTGTTTATTCCGTTTGGCAAAACTTTCTTTTTCGTCTTCTACCTCCATCCAGTTGTTTGCGCGGAAGAGTGCATCCTGAATTGTGTCTGGTTTATGAAGTATTAAGTCTTCTTTAAACCTTGAATCATGTCGCAATCCTTTTCGTAGGGCAGATAAAGCTGATTGCTGTGAGATTCTTGGGAGCTTTGACAGCACTCCTTTGAATTTGGTGATGAAGACTCGAAGTGACTCATTAGATCCTTGCGTTAAGTTCCAAAGATCGGCATCCGAAACGCTTTTATCCATAAGGATAGAGTATTGCTTTAAGAACACGGCTGATAGTTCGTCGAAATTGCTGATCGAACCCGGCTCTAATTGGGTGAACCACATTAGAGCTTGGCCACATAGATTCTCCGAAAACAGCTTGCAATAGCCTGCGTCTTCATCAGCTTCATCCAATTCGACTCTTCCTGCAGCGATCAGAAAGGCTGCGAGATAGCTTTTTGGATCCTCCAATCCACTGTAAGGGTCCAGTTTGAGTTTCCGGGAATCTTTGATCCTTAAACTCGCGATTCGCGGGATGAAAGGTGTTCGCCTAGTTTTTTCAATGACTCGATTGATGTCTGGCTCTGAACTTGTAGCTTGATGAAATTTTGATTTCATTTCTTTTAATTCCTGGCTAACTTTCCTCATGGTCTCGAACTGGTCGAGGTTCTCCTGCTCGTACTGAGCTGCGAGTTGTTCTTCATCCCCGAGCTGCGTCTCTTCTTCCGACGTCTGAGCTACATTATTAGTAGCACCGAGAGTTGTTTGTCCGCTGGTTTCATTTCGTGCAGCGGAACTTGGCGAGTTGAATATCCCTCTTCGGATTCCCACCGGGTTTCCTGCACTTAAAGAGCGAACACGAGTTTGTATATTATTGACGTTTTGACTAAGAGATACCTGGAATGTTTGCAACGTATCGACGGCCTTTTCCACATCCGAGAACTTTTGTGATATGTCCGACATGGTTTGCTGCATAGCTTTGAGGGTTTCGGCCAATGATGTCTCAGCGGCGTCTCCTCCGGACATTGTTGCTTATCTCAGAAATGTAGAAAAGAAAAAATCTGACCACTCAAGAATCTCTCTCTCCCCACAGGCGGCGCCAAAATGTGGATGTCGGATTCACACACTCAAGTATTCTATTAGGTGGGAAAGATTATTCTTGAGGGACAAAAGATGAATATGTAAAAACTTATAAATTGGTACGAAAAATTGCTATATTATTTCTTTTCTCCAGAGAAAGACGCCCTTTACATGGCCATTGGCCTCTATATTTATACATAAATAAACGACATTAAAATGAGTAATTAAGCACAATTATTTCTTCTTAAATGTGTCCGTTTTGATTCTTCGGCTTTAATGCTCAACGTTTAAATTTGAGTTGACTCTGATCTTCATGGGCCTCGCCTTTTTGGCCCAAGTGTCCTTGAACCGACTTACCCGTGTCTTCTACACCGAACTTGTATCACAGTGCAGTCACTTCGGATTCTCGAAGTGGTGACAACCACTTCGACCGTCCCCTCGGTTCACGGGTCCAATGGGCTTCATCCTTTATGGGCCACCCGCTTGACTACGTGGTAATCTTTGGTTGGTCTCGTACTTCTGGTGCGGGATCCGACACCAACAGTTCACAGTTGGCTTCTTTGAATGCGACTGCGGGAAGCAGGCGCTGGTCCGGCAAGCGTGGACGGACGCAAATCCAGGCCGACGCTTCTATAGGTGTGGTGCTGGTTGGAGAAGCGAATGTAACTACTTCCGGTGGAAAGACATTGAGAAACCACATGGATGGCAGTATAAGGCTCTGTTGGAAGCAAGGGATATAATCAAAGCACAAGATGCAGAGCTTAAGAGGCTTAGGGAGACTCAAGCCGAAGGAAACCGAATCTATCCCGTTGAGGTAGGTCTTCTAGAATTCCAAACAAAAATTGAGCATTTGGAGAAGGAAAGTATCGTTTTAAAGAGCGATTTGAAGGTAAGCAATGAGAAGGAACAAACTCTCCGAGAAGTCCTCATAATTTCGTGGATAGGATTTATTTGTGTTTTAGCGACGGTCGTCCATGCGTTTAAGTAAGCAACTAAATGTATAATTATATGTGTAATAATTTAAGTAAATCGTACTCCGAACTTGTCTTTTGATGGTATAACCGTCTATTCTTGTGATGTAACCGGCTAAATTGACTATGTTTAATATATTTAGTTTCTGTAATCATTTAATTAACTTTAAATTTCGGTAAATATTTTGGCCCATTAAGCTATGAATGAATTAAATAGCCTTCTATATATCAAAAAGTCAGCAATAGTTAGATATCCAAAACTTAACTAGGAAAGAAATGATGTTTTTAAAACCTTTTTTTTTTGGGTATCCTATGCTTAGTATTTTTAAAAATTGACACGCGGGAGGTTGTTTTGTAGACGTAACAGTTAGTACGTGGCAGTGTATTTATTGTCTTGTTGTTATATTTTTTTGATTACTAAGTTATCTAGTTTCGTGAGCTTATGTATAAAGAAGCGTTAGGAAACAACTTTAAGCCGAAAGCATTAATATATTACAAAGCCAGATTGAATGGTGTGCGGACTCACAAGATCAACGCAATACACCATTTCTGGCAGAGTTCAGGATTATATTACATACGTGGGGAAGGTTCCCGAAAACAGAGATAAATATTACAGAATGGTGCCTGTGGCATGCTTATAATACATTGAAAATGTTGCCACTTCTTTAAGCCGTGAACAGGAAACACGTAGATCCGAAGAGCTGCTTTTATACATCCAAAAGGTACAGCTGATGAAAGCATATTATTAGAGGGATTGATAACATAGATATCTACACGTATTACTAGCAATCTATTTTTTTAAAGTCTCGTATATCTTACCAAAGTTTAAAACCCTTAGTTATATTGGCATCTTGCAGGAAGCGCGGTTATGCCCACTCCCTCGGCATCTGGTACAGCTCCGCTTCGTTATCTTCCGCGGCCTCTGTATTGTTTAATGTATACGACAAAAAAGAATGTAAAGAACTACTATTTGTGTTAGACATCTATATATTATATGTTATATTACATAATACCTTAAATTCCCCAGTTGAAAGGTATCTAGTACGCTTTGGCCTACCTGGTGGCCTTCTTGTGAGAGGAGGTAGAACCGTCAATGTTGCAATTCCGTCTGGTACCTCACGCAAAGTGCTTAAGTCGGGGACGGGATGGATGCTGCCATTGTAAGCGAGACTCCAGAAAAAGCTTCCGTACTGAGGGGCAGCCAACATAGGTACACTCATGTCACAACGGATCACGGCTGCAATTGCGTGGCTGCAAGGTATCTGCAGCAAAGTGAACTCCTCGCAGGTGCATGTCCTTTTTTGGAGATCCACAGCATATGTTAGACCTGTGGTGGTCTTTACTTCGTATTGCTCGTTGTTGATCTTGGTCACTTCGTAAGATGTGGACCGTTCATAGTTTCGCTGGACTATTTCTTCCACCTTTGGTATAAGAGCCTTGTCGTGTTGGGTTGCCTTTTCCCTACGCTTCTCAAACCAAGTCATCAGAGTACCTCTGATGTACTCAAGCGTCGACACTATTGGCAGCTCTCGTGCCTCCTTCAGGACTGCATTGAGTGACTCGGCTACGTTTGAAGTCATGATGTTGAACCTTTCCCCATAGCTGTGTGACCTAGTCCAATGTTCTAAACCAATAGACATTAAGTACTCGGCGCATCCAGGTGAGGTTCGCTCTATTTCTTCGAAGAGCTCGTTGAATGTTGACTTCTTGTATGCTCTAGCTGCCTTCGAGATAAGGCCAGCGAGCATTCTTTTCTTAAACTTTGTAGCCACATTCCTTTGTAGATGAACGATGCAAGCCCCATGGTTTGCCCTTGGATACACCTACAAATAATCATGATATTTTATTTATTGCCCAACTATTAGATAATATACATCCCTATATATTAGCAATACTCTCCAAATGTTATATAGGCAAGATATAATATAGACATCCATACCTTTCCGAGACCTGTGTATATCGAAGAGTGACGGTCCGACACGAAAGTTAGATTCTCGCCATCTGGGATTATCTTCTTTAGGCATGTGAAGAACCACTCCCATGATTTGTCATTCTCCCCATCGACTATCCCAAATCCAATCGGGAATATCTGAAAATTCCCGTCTTGTGCGCTTGCTGTTAGGAGACACCCCGCATACTTTCCCCTCAATTGCGCCCCGTCTATTATCACAACATTCCTCATGAACTTCCACCCTCGGACACTTGCCCCAAGAGCTACGAAACAGTACTTGAACCTATTATCGCCATCAATATCCACCTCGGTGTGCAAATCTGTGACGGTACCAACGTTTGCCCTTGTCAACATGTGAAGGTAGCTAGGTAGAATCCCATAACTCCCATTTGGGGATCCTTTGGCTAAGTCCATAGCAAGCTCCCTTGATCGCCACGCCTTCTAGTACGAGACGTTGACATTATATTCCTCCATCAGAGCTCGCCTTATTCCTATCGGTGTGGGCCCTACTCCAGTACTGCTGTACTTTGACTTCATGATTTGGGATATCACCGACGTAGTAGCTTGGCGTGGAAACTGGCTTCTTACTTCTATTGGACATGTATGCTCCAGATGGGCTGTTCGAAGTTCGAAGTACTCAGTCTCGTCCAACCGTAAGCAGTACACTCTCCACGGGCAAGTATCTAACACACAACGAACAATCACAACATCGTTGGTGGTGCGGTGATTTCGATAACTGAACTTCATGTTGATAGCGTGGACTGCTATTTTAACTTTGCAATCGTCTCGATTCTTGAATACACGTCCCACAAACAGCTCGTCTCCTTCGTAGTCGACATCCAGCACGACAAGCCTTGTCCTCTCTGAACCTATTAAAACAGTTACCATTTTAAATCATTTAATAGCGGTTTATGTTTTATAATAGACAGCTATTTATAACATGCAAATAATTGAAAATTTTAAATAATAGTTTACCGTATGGCTCGTTGTCATCAAACACTGGCGCTGCGTCCCTTGCGAATGTGTGTTCAGGAAGGCTTAGCATCCTTAACATTCTGTGAATCGGGGCATCTGTACGGTTGTCCTCTGCGATGTTATTTAAGAATATATACCGTTTCTTTAGTTTATTGGTCATCCATTTTGCTAACAAATAAAAGGTATTTTTATATAAGTTTTTTCACCATTGATGCGTTCTGCTGCATATTCTTGAGTCGCTTGGACGTCCTGTTGTCCAGAGTCGGCGCCTACATCTCCGACAGGTCCGTAAGCTACAGATGCTGCAAAACAAGTTAGACATGTATGTTATGTTGTAAATGAGTATCAATAGGGTTACTTTGTAGGATACAGTTATCTTTTGGAAATTAGGTAAACTAGATTTTTTACCATTGATTTGTTCTGATGCCTCTACTTGAGTCGTCTGGTCGTTCCCTTGTACCGAGTTCTCGCCGATATCTCCACTAGATCTGTCGGCTATAGATGTTAAAAGAAGAGTTAGACCGTTATATTTCTTGTTGTATAGGTATATATAAATGATAACCTCCACATTCTTTGACCTCTTTCAAAATCTGAGAACAGGTTTCTGGTTAGTCGTGTGACCCTGTTATTGTCGGAAGACGAGCTTCCCTCAGGTTCTAGTACACAGACGGGTGACCCACGGGTTTGTGGAGCCTCTGTCAAGGTCTTGTAATGCCTCAAAGCCGCTGAAAGTGTAGCGAACCCGCTACTTGCGTACGAATTCCCTATCCATCCAAGGGGTCCATCATTGCTGTCCCCCACGTCTTCCCTGGGAACTTGCGAGCAGATGATGTTGTCGCCGGCTTCTCTGTCAAGACGGCGCTTTCTTTCTTTCTCCAGCTCCTCCTTACTCATCACTTCATACAGCGCGAACTCGTCCATCAGAGGCACCACTTTGAACCCATCTATTTCCAGTGTCATGTTCACCGGCATAGGGACAACGTACAGCTTCATTTCGTTGATGTCTACCCGCATAGCTAGGAACATGTCCATATCGTCGTCGGAAACAATGTGAATAGGGACAGGTTTTACAAAGCCGTCGACGTCCATCCATTCCGGCATTTCATAAGTTAGCTCGATATTCTCCCTAGTTCTGTTGATGCTAAACTCTTCAATGACCTTCGTTTTTGCTGCTTCAACACCGTCTCCTTCCCTGAAGCGAATGAACCTCCCCATCTGTCCCTCCGCTCCTGAGAATCTCCAAACTCCTTGTTCATCTTTGGACCACCCGCCAAGCTTAACCCGTACCATGCCCGTGATTCTTTCATTAGTCACCTCCATCATTTCACCTGTTTAAGAACCCAAACGAACCATGTTAGAGAAAGTCAACAGGTTTATATCTACAAACTATAAAGAATAAAGCTCCTTACTTAACTCTCCACAAGTATTCTTACGGTCGTCGCTGAAGTTGTAGACTTTATGAGGTTTTTGTAGTTGGTGTCTTGAAGATTTTGCATCTCGCCCCCAAGCCTATTTATTGGGTATCCAACTCTTTAGGTTAGGTGTTTAAATTTCAAAATCCCGCCCATCTGGTTTCGTAAAAGATTCGAACCGGAGATTTTTTAGCGACATTATGCAGGTTTGCATTTAATGTCAGTCCTCTCCTTCTTTCTGTCGCCGCGGAACAATCCCGTCCATAACAGAGCCGTCGCTTCTTTCATTTTTTGCCAAAAAAGTCTACCCTCCTATCCCACTCGCATGCATACGTCACTGCCTGGTTATTTCGTTATTTTCGTCAAACCGAAGCCCAAAAATGAAGCGTTATTTCCATGCCTTTGTGACAAAGCAGTCAATTACCTATTAGCAAATTATCCTCTCTGATTTTACCTCTGAGCTAAGTGTCCCTACATTTTTCACGAGTTATGTGTCTTTCATGTTATGGTATTACGAAAGATCTTACCTTTTTTATATAATTTTGTATCTATTTTGGATAGAACATGAACTTTTTTTTTTGACAAATGGAATTTATCAAATTGTTATTGTTCAATCGAGAAGTATTATATATCAAGCTCTTGTTATCAATAGTTACTTCAAGGTTTTAGCTTTTGGTTCTATCGTTTTTTAAGGAAATTTGATGTTGACCTTCACGTACGTGGAGCTTTTTGGTAGGTAAAAGAATTTAACAAGTGATTGATATGATTAAAAAGTCGTGTAAACTCGCATTATGGTCCGTCCAATTCCTTCATTTTGTAATTAATCCTTTACTTGTTTTCATTTTAGTGGAGTATTTTATTCTTACACCATAAATGGGAATACGTAAGTAGTATTTATTTGGACGTTGAATTATAATACTCCCTCTGTTTCACAAAGAGTGTCACTTTGACACTCTTCACACAAATTAAGAAAAGAGATTAAAAGTCTTTTATACCCTTAAATTATTTACAGGATTTAATTACAATTATTTATTTTGATGTAATTATAAATAAATTGCTTTACAATCGTGTACTTCTTAGACTTCTCCTTAGTCAATAGTCATTGTGATAATTAAATGCATTTCTAGGATCAAAGCATTTCCACAATCGACATTTGTTTTGGAGGTAAAACTAATTCAGGTTTGACACTAGATAACAATAAAAAATGGAGCCAAAATTTGTAGTGGAGGCAATCAAACAAAAATTTAAAAAATTTGGACTTTCATATATTAGATCAGCGAGACTTTCTAAATACTCCATCTATCTATGGCTTCTGATTTGAACTTTTCACCTACAACAGATAAAGAAAATTATTCATTTGATTTGAATATTCCACCAGTTAATAGTGATGAATTTGTTTTCCAAATAGAAGACTTTGTGGATGATACGGACTCAGTTCATCCAAATGAAGAAACAATTCGACATCATGCATTTGTCTTCCTTGCTTAGACTTGTTTTTTTCTGAAACCTGCAAACTTTGAATAGAACTTTTAGTCATGTTTGTATCCATAACAACTAAAAAGTGACTCTTGCATTTTTTACAGATCTAATTCCATTTATAAATAAAAGAAGACAATGATGAATGTCAATGACGTTCAACGTAATGAAGATTACGAAGAGAACAATTAATATTGTGTAGAAAATGACTTTTGGAATTTTATCACAACTAATTTTTAATATTATTGTGATAAATTTGTTTGAGGTTAAAATTGGAAAAATTTGACAAAACTTCTCTTGAAAATCTAAAACGACATTTTTTTGTAACAAGAAAAAAGTGTCAAAATGACACTCTTTGTGAAACGGAGGGAGTATTTGAAACTTTGGAAGTATTGAAAAGTAGAATAAGTTGATGCATTAATTTTCAAATAAGGATCATAGTTAGCAAATTCAAAATTTATACATTCAACTAATCGAAGAATAGGGATCATCATAATAGAATAACTAGTCCACGATATCAAAGTTTGCCTCGTTAAGAATACTCTTAGTTACTATTGATAGTTTAGACTTTTGTTCTTGAATCATTTATTTTGAATTCGATATGGATTTTCGTAATACGAGATTATCGTAACCAGCAACAAAACAATGAAGATATTTGTTGAGAAAGTTCTCGAGATATTATATTATTGACATAAACGAGATTTCTCAATCTTCATTGTTTGATAGCCACCATAATTAGAAGATAATGACGGACGTTCCATGTGTCATATTATTATATCTATAATTGGAAAAACTTGACCCGCAATTAAGGCAATAGATCAATATAGGGACTGAAATCCATGATTGTTAGAATGTGAAATACTGAGAACGATACTTCAACAAACAAACAAAAATTGTGTATCGAAAACGATATATAAAAATTATACTACTAATCAACTTTGTGAATGGTTTTCATTAAGAATTACGAGTTGTATAACCAAATTTAGGGTAACCAACTTATTAGAAATGACCGGCCATAAATCTCTTCTATTTTTGTTGACACATTCATCAATAATGAATTCTAAGTTGGAAATAATATGTTACTAACAATGATCATAGATTCATGATCATACTGTGTATTTCTCATGCAAATCTTTAAATCGTCGATGATGTCAAAAGGAAAAAACGCTTAGAACAACAAACTGATATTTATTACAAAAAATTCACTAGTCCAATAATGCGAAATTACGACACAAAGAAGAGGAAAAAAAATCCCGACAGAGTAGAGACTAGGACAATAAAACTCAGCAATAGAATAAAGAAAACCTAAATCAAAACATGAAAACGCATTTGTTTAATCTTAAGCAAACATCAAAATGGTAGAAGCAACACTTAATAGTGTAGTCATAACCGAAGTAACGGCTAAACCACTTGCTGAGTTTTTCCTGGGACTTGGGGCCGGCGCTGTGATGCTATCGGCGGTCGGAGTTGTTTCCGAAGGAGAAGGTGACAAAGGTGTTGTCTGGTCAGAAGGAGAAGCAGGAGACTGAACAGGCGATGGAGAAGAAACAGGGGATGGAGACGAAACAGGGGATGGTGATTTTGGTGTCGGAGATGGAGCATGTGCTGGCGAGTGAACTGGTGAGTGAGAAACCGGGGTGGGGGAATTTGGTGACGGAGATGGAGTCGCCGGAGAGTGAGATGGAGAATGCGACGGTGAGTGAGAAACAGGGGAAGAAGACCTAGGTGGTTGTGCTGGAGAAACAGAGGATTTAGGTGGCTGAGATTTTGAAGGAGCAGTCGCCGGAGAAGAGGATCTAGGAGGTTGAGCCATAGACGGAGGTTTAGCAGGAGAAACGGGAGAAACAGGGGAGTGAGATTTAGGAGGTTGAGCCGGAGAAACTGAAGGAACAGGGGAATGAGATTTTGGAGGCTGAGCTGATGACGGAGGTTTCGCCGGAGAAATAGGAACCGTCTGGTGATCTCTGACGGCGAGAACAACGACGATCAGTTTCTGTCCCTTTTTACAGTGATCTTCATTACCACTTATGAAGTAAAAAGGACCAGATCGATCAAGAGTCACAACAGATTCACCATTATCAAAGTTCTTGATCGGATTTCTAACATTGCAGCCATCAAAATCTGCCTTCATCACTTGTTGAACAGAATCTGATCCCTTCGCATACTTAAAATCTGCATAAAGAATGAAACATTTTTGGTTAGAATCACAATAAAAGCCTCCAAATTTAAAACCATAACAAAGAAAAGAAACTTAAAAAAAAAAAAAAAAAAAAAAAAGAAAAGAAACTTACAGAGAGTGTCATTGACTTGGAAACGGTTTCTTTTTTGTAGTTTTCTTGAGGGTTTATAACCCAAGCTCCGTTACCTCCGACGTTAAACCTCCATGCATCAGCAACAGAGAAGAAAGTTGCAAAAGAAGCGAGGATGAGGAAAGAAAAACAGAGAGTTTTCATGATCGCCGACATGGTTTTCGGAGATCTGAAAATTAGGGTTTTTATGTTTGTGTTGAGTTGTGGAATGATGAATATATAGGAATTTTAGGAGATTAAGGAGAATCAAAGAAAATCTCTGAAATTTACAAAAATGGAATACGAAGATTGGTGCCAGAAGACTTTCTTTCTTTATATCAAAGAGAAATTTTTTTGGAAAGGTAATAAGGATTTTGAACGTTGTGAAAGAAATTAAAGGCATGCATTTATGTTAAGACGTGTGAGATTTTGACTCACGTATTAATTCACTGTATTAATTCACTTCCCATAAAAAGTGATTTGAATAATGGATTTTTTTCTATTTGATTATTAGTATTTTGTTAATGATATTGACAAAATGGGCTGGTTTTCCATTTTTAGTTTGATTTCATATCTTTTGTTTGTTCCAATATAAATGAAATCTAGTGATTAGGTCTCTAATATGATTCTACTTTCGGATTGTTGTTTCTGAAATAGAGATAGCCAGCTAGGTGTTAGCCATTACTTGCTTATTTGTAACTTGTAAGGAATGGACTTCGTGGACTGGATTTTTTAGTGAGATGTGGTGGGCGATGTTAAAAAGGCTTCGAAGCCCAAGTTAAGTTGGATAGCAAAGGCCCAATAGCTCACCAGAAGAGGGCATATGAAATACACTTGGTGAGGGAGAGATCCAGTTAATTAGAAGAACCAACATTGTTGAGCTTTGACAAAAAGAAGAATCACATTGTTGAGTAAATGTTTTAAGCACTTCTTTTTATTAGAAAGACCATCTATTTTCGGTGATAAGGTAGTTGATATACTTACTAACATAGACAAATTGGGGTCTTTTTGTATTTGCACTAAGAAAACGAATTCATGTATCGTTTTCCAAGACCATAGTTGTTATAGAATTGGCGTCTTTAGATATTGTAAACTCTAATATATCCAAATTGAAGTAACCAAAATACAAAACAAGAGATAAAAACGAAACCAATACTTTAATGTTTCTTTAGAATCTTATAACTTCTTGATTTAGAAAATCCTTAAAAAAACATGTTTTGATTGATACTCTTGTTTACTTTTCAGTGAATCTCTATGAACAACAAAGATAAAAGTGAATTTTAGCTCAAGACCAAAAATAACTAGATTCAGTTTTGAATTGGTTCATATACTTATTTAAATAACCATAAACAATAATCATAATCTTCCACATGTTGATCAGAAGAGTAAATTCAAACAAGCCACATTGATATATTATAAGAGATTAAACCATATTGGCAAAAAAAAACAAGGTTACTAAACCATAACAATTACATGTTATAATTATTACTTGAGCATTCATAATCATCATATATCATAGAGATTAAAAATAAAAATGGGATGATTAATTACATTTTCTCAAAGCAGAGTTTTTCACTCAGCCTTCTCTGCTTTGGCTTCCTTCTTCTCTTCTTTCTTGATCTCTTCTTTCTTCTCCTCTTTCTTGATCTCTTCTTTCTTCACCTCTTTCTTCTTCTCTTCCTTTGGTTTTATATCTCCAACAGCTTTTGGTTTGCCCGGCTTTGGTTTCATGAAGCAGAAGCAAGAGCAACATGGACACTGGAACAAGAACTTCATTTTTCTCTCTCACTTATCTTCTTCTTTTCTCTCTCACACAATCTCACTCACACATTACACATTGCTTACTTAAAAACTAAGCTTTAATGAAAGTAGAGAATTGATTGGGTTTGTTTTTTTGGGTTACTTATTACTGTGCTTTTTTGACATTTCTCTAACAATCCTGTCTTTTTCTTCTCGTTTAATAATGGTGCTTTCATTTGGTCCCACACTCCATTGAATTTTAGTATCCTTCTCCAACCAATTCTTTTTTATTTCCAATCATGTTTCTTTTTAAACCGCATATACACAAAAGACACACGAGCTTTAGCTCAGCTGGAGTGATAGTGTACTGACGGTGGCCAATTTCTTTGTGTATTAAATTTTTTTTGACAACTAAACAAATAACTTGTATCATAGTTTTTTTTTTTTTTTGCATATACACACAATCTTTGAAATTGTAGTTCGAACTTCAATTTCGGGAAAATGAGCAAATCATATGTACAATGGTCCTTTTAACCGTAATGTGGCACGAATTTTCTAACTATGGATGCATGATTTAGTTTATCCGTTTAACATTAAACATAAGATGATGGTGCAAACCCATTAGATCACAAACATTTTTTTTTAATTAAATCGATTTTGTATCACATATGAACGATAATTTCGATAATGTTTATGATGGGGATGATTAATTGATTATGGAAGTAGAGAATAATGGAGGGGAATGATACTATGTAATGTAGGGAAAAAAGTTGGTTCGTTTTACGTATATTCGTGAATCATGCATATTATTAATTTGAAAAAGGACTATATTACTTTTGGATCTTTATGTGTATTATCATATAGTTGGATTCCACTTCAGTCTCTTTCAAACCAAGTGGATGGCCGCCCTACTCTGATTTATATATCTTTTTTATGGACAATTTTTCTAGTAAATTCAACGAAATAATTTAATTAATTGCAATATCTTATACTCAAAACTCAAAAAGTGAATTTCATACACACCGTTTAGATTTTTCCTTATTCAGCCAAAAGACTTCTATGGGCTGGGCTTAGAATATGAGCCCATATTTATCTTATCATTAATTATTTTATGATAAGTAATAACAGGCCAGCCAAACCTCAACTTTTTTTCTTAGAAATCGATTATATGATTTGAGCTGATTCTCACGCATCCGATCTGAATTATCCAACTTTTTGGGTAAAAGTAATAGAAATTCTCCATTTGATTCAAACTAGTTTATTCGACTGAATAAAAAAGTATGAGTCAAGTAATTATCCGAAGTATCCGAACCATTTCTCAATTATTTTCAACATTTGTGGAAGGATCATTATTTCAATGGTTCTCAACATTTGTTTAGTTATTTATATATATCTTGGACAGTCGAATGAAAAGACCAGACAAGGGTCATCTTTGCTTTTGGGTTTGGTATGTCACATGTTTATTATAGCCTATATAGATCCTTGTCTTCTTTCACAACATAATACAATTCTCACAAATGTTTAAAACACGTTTTGGAGAGAATTGTAGTTGTATCTCTCTAAATTCTTTGTACTAGCCAAACCAGATTATCTTAGTTAACTACACCAATATTACGAAGAGGACGACAAAGAAGGGTGCATGATTAAAATAAATTAAACTAACCAAAGACTAATAACAATAGTGATAGAATTGCGATACTTTCGAGGTTCGATCTTAGAGAAGACTTGAAAACTAAACAAAGTAGGAGGCCGATAGGTGTACGGTTCGATGACTTCACGTGATTTGCGGTGTGTGATCAGTTGACTATACAATACATTATCAAAAAACATCACTCCATTTTCGATGCTCCCAAACATTACTTTAATTCACTTAATATTATCTTATGAAACCATTTTTTTATCAACGCTGTGGTGCACTCAGCATAGTTTATGTACCAACTTCACCTTTTATACGAAACTTTTGTATAAACTACTTCAAATACATTAGTACAATCAAGTGTCTCTTTCCAATTTTATCCTAACATTATGCAGAGACTATTCATAGTATTTTTAATTTATTATTGTATGGTTGTATCAATTCTCTTTCACCAACAACCTCTCTCAGACATGAGAACACACAGATATTCACTCTCTCGAAGTCTTAACCAGGTGATAACCATAGTTTGATCCCGGTTTAGCGAACCGGTTGAACCTCGAACACACTTCCGAAAAAAAAATAGAGGATCGTATATTTGCAAAAAAACAAACAAACAAATAAGCTTACCATTAATAAAAAACGTAGAAGTCACGTGAGACCCGTGGCTCTGGCTTTTATGGTCAGGATTTCAAGTTCAGCTGTTCCACATCTTTCACGGCATCGGTCCCGTGACGTCCGCCTGAAAGTCCAAACTGAACCCACACGGCTCTAAGGAACGTCACTCTCCACGGGCCACGTGCACCGCTAATAGCCATGATGCGTCACAACTTTCACGAGAGGTCCGATACATAAATCAACGTCTATGGGTTGAAAGAGTTTGCATATGCATGTGTTTATGGTAATTAATAGTCATAAAATATCTACTCATTTCTGTTTACTTGAAAAAGTTGGTTTGTGGATTGATTTTTTTTTTGTCAAATGTATAATCTGTAATGGTTACAAAATACATCTACTCATTACTAGACAAGGTGGGTTTTTGTATTGACTTTTTTTTTAAGATACATAATTTCAATTAAGTAAATGATTATTTAATCATTTCTTATTAGCAAATGATAAAAATGTAATGAGCAAAATTTGGATGGAAATTTATCATGTGATTTTATTAATTGTACATCTAAAATTATATTCACTCACTATTCTCATAAATAAATATTCAAATACATGAAATAATATTATATTTTTTTAATGTGATGCTCATAAAAAATAACATTTTTAACGCGTTTTAGAATATTTGAATCACAAGAGTAAAACCGTCCAAAACTTATTCCAACTCATTTTCTTTGGAGTACTATTTACTAATTATCATTTTATCTCTTTCCATCTCTGATTTATTCGATATGATAACACAATAAATATTAGCTACATAATTGGATCATCGAATTATTACAGAACTATTACGTTCATATTCAATTAATGTTCATATACTTGTAAATAAAACCTCTATAAATTAATAATGTTGGGACCATGATATTTTATTAATTTATAGTGATATTAGCTACATAATAAGTATTTATAGTGATAACACAATAAATATTAGCTACATAATAAGTATTTATAGATAAATTAATACTTATTAATTTATAGCGTAAATTAATATTTATTAATTTATAGAAAGTTTTGTTTCAATTGTGGAAACTTTTTTTAAAAAATACGAGTTAAAGCAATGTGATCTAAATAAAATTTTATGTTTTGGATGTTTTAAATTTTATATTTTTAGCCTTAAACACTTAATATTTCGAAGATAAAAATAATTTATTTTGACAACGAATAACAAAGATTATAGAATTCACATATACAAACGATATACATTAATTAAAATTCACAAATCGTGACATCCATTGTTGTATTTTAAAAATCTATACGACTATTAAAACAAAAATTATGCATATTTAAAATTTGAAAACTTACAAAAACTTTTGGCTATTTTTATGAAAACACTAAAACTATTATATATATATATATGCAAATTTACATGATTATTAATTTATGATATTATTGGGACTATATTTTTACATAGAGATTTCAAAAAACTTATTATCTTATTATCTTATCGAATTTGGTTAATATTTACACTGCCCCGACTCGGGACCGGCCAAATTTATTAATTTATCGTGTTTATTAATTTATCGAGTATTAATTTATAGAGGTTTTAGTGTATGTTGTGTTTGTGCTAAAAGGACAGAAGTAGGTATTTCAAATTTTCAATAGAGAAAGACAAGCAAACTTTGTCCAATGTTTTCTTAATGCGACAAATTTACAAAAGAAAAACGAAAAGCCTGTGGAAAAAGTTTTGACTAAAACCACAAACTTTCCTTGACTTTGTTTTAACCACATTAAGTTGTTTCCCACTAATGTGTACAAAAATTTCTTGATTTGTAACAATCTGTCATCATATAATATAGTTGTGCAGAATTTTGTCCACAAAATTAAAATAGTAATTTAATAATTTGTATTAAAAAGCACAAAGGTCATATAAAAACCTGTTACGTTTATTATTTCTAGAATATAAACACTTGTGAGCTGCAATAATATAGTTGTGCAGAAAACGAAAGAACTTTCCTTTTCCGTTTTTTTTTTTTCTTCTCAATCTTCTATCGTCTTCTTCACTGTTTCGATTTTTTGAGACCTGTCCCTAAAAAAGTTAATAGTAACTCTCACTGTTCTTGAGAAAACGAAAGAACTTTCCTTTTCCGTTTTTTTTTTTTCTTCTCAATCTTCTATCGTCTTCTTCACTGTTTCGATTTCGAAAGTTAAAACATTGACAATTTGAATCCCAACTACTCTGTTTTTCACTTCACTTTTTAGATTGGTTCTGTCTCTTGGTCGAAAAAGACCTGCACTTGCTAATGCGACATTAAAAACCCTTGTAAACAAATCTTCGTAGTTATCGTTTCCTTACAAAAAAAAACAAAACTTTCCATGTTTCAGTGGCGGCTGTGAACTCGAAAGCTCTTAACTTTATCTGGGAATTGGCAAATTAAAGGTTTTTATTGGCAAAATTTGTGATTGCTTAAGCTGTTGCTGCTTAAAGGTATTTACTTTATACTCTCTTGACTGTTATTGTTTATGTTTTTGAGTTTTGCTTAAGTTACAAGTCTTCAATAGTATGTGATTCTTGATTTTTCGAGGTGGGTTTTTGGGAAGTGAGCATTTAGTTTCTGCTTTTGATTTCGTACTGTTTCTTGGGATTCGATTTTCAGGAAGATACGTGTTGCTGATTTCAATTTGCTTCCACAATCTTGCTTCAACTACAAGTTGTGAAAGCTCGATTCTTTTGGGACATGAGCATGTGACTTATGAAAGTTTCAGTCTTTATTTTAGTCTTTTGCTGTGATTTGAGCTGGCTAGAGAAGACTCTTGTCTCTGTTTGTTGTTAGTCATGGTGATCATTCTCCTATTGGCCTTCTTTGTTGGTTCATCTGTGAGCCTGACATGTCATCCCAACGACTTATCTGCACTCCGGGAATTCGCAGGAGCGTTGAAGAACATGTCTGTTACGGAACCTTGGTTAAACGGTTCGCGTTGTTGTGAATGGGATGGTGTGTTTTGTGAAGGGGGTGATGTTTCTGGTCGAGTTACAAAGTTGGTTCTTTCTGATAAGGGTTTAGAAGGTGTGATTTCGGGGTCTTTAGGCGAGTTGAGTGAGCTGCGAGTACTTGATCTATCTCGTAACCAGCTTAAAGGCGACTTACCAGTGGAGATTTCCAAGTTAGAGCAGCTTGAAGTTCTTGATTTGAGCCATAATCTGTTATCAGGGTCGGTTTTGGGAGCGGTTTCTGGTTTAAAGCTGATTCAGTCGCTGAACATTTCCAGCAATTCGCTAAGCGGGAATTTATCGGATGTTGGAGTGTTTCCTGGTCTTGTGATGTTTAATGTAAGCAACAATTTGTTTGAGGGGGAGATTCATCCTGAACTCTGCAGCTCATCTGGTGAGATTCAGGTTCTTGATTTATCGATGAATCGTTTGGTGGGGAATCTTGATGGCTTGTATAATTGCAGCAAGTCTATCCAGCGGCTCCATGTCAACAGCAACGGATTGACTGGCCAGCTTCCGGATTATCTTTATTTGATCCGGGACTTGGAGCAACTATCAGTCTCTGGGAACTACTTATCTGGACAGTTGAGCCAGAACTTGAGCAATCTCTCTGGTCTTAAGTCTCTGTTGATTTCCGAGAACCGGTTTTCTGGTGTAATTCCAGATGTTTTTGGTAATCTCACTCAGCTGGAACACCTCGACGTAAGCTCCAACAAGTTCTCGGGAAGATTTCCGCCAAGCTTATCTCAATGCTCGAAGCTGCGGGTTCTTGATCTTAGGAACAACTCGTTATCTGGTTCTATCAATCTTAACTTCACTGGATTTACTGATCTTTGCGTGCTCGATCTCGCCAGTAATCATTTCTCTGGACCACTTCCTGATTCCCTTGGCCATTGTCCCAAGATGAAGATCTTGAGTTTGGCGAAAAACGAGTTCAGCGGCAAAATCCCCGACACCTTCAAGAATCTGGACTCTCTCTTGTTCCTGTCCTTATCCAACAACAGCTTTGTGGATTTTTCTGAGACAATGAATGTGCTGCAACATTGCAGAAATCTCTCCACTCTTATCCTCTCAAAGAATTTCATCGGCGAGGAAATACCAAGCAACGTCACTGGTTTCAACAACCTCGCGACTTTAGCCCTCGGAAACTGCGGTCTTAGAGGTCAGATTCCGAGCTGGTTATTGAATTGCAAGAAGCTGGAAGTTCTTGATCTCTCTTGGAATCACATTTACGGAACTATCCCTCATTGGATCGGTAAGATGGAGAGTCTGTTCTACATAGACTTCTCAAACAACACTTTAACCGGAGAAATCCCGGTAGCCATAACCGAGCTCAAGAACTTAATCCATCTAAACTGCACCGCTTCTCAGATGACCACCTCTTCTGGTATTCCTCTCTACGTAAAGCGGAACAAGAGCTCGAGTGGTCTTCCATATAACCAAGTTTCAAGATTCCCGCCATCTATCTATTTGAACAATAACCGCCTCAACGGGACGATCTTGCCGGAGATCGGACGTTTGAAAGAGCTTCACATGCTGGATTTGAGCAGGAACAACTTCTCCGGGAGGATACCTGATTCCATTTCAGGGCTTGACAATTTGGAGGTTCTTGATTTGTCTTACAATCATCTCTACGGTTCGATTCCTCTGTCTTTTCAGAGTCTCACTTTCTTGTCGAAGTTCAGCGTTGCATATAATCGTCTCACTGGTGCGATTCCATCTGGAGGCCAGTTCTACAGCTTCCCACACTCCAGCTTTGAAGGAAATTTGGGGCTTTGTCGCGCGATTGATTCTCCTTGCGATGTTCTGATGAGTAACATGTTGAATCCGAAAGGTCCTTCGCGTAGTAATAACACTGGCGGAAGATTCGGGAGAAGCAGCATTGTTGTACTTACCATAAGTCTAGCCATTGGGATTACTCTACTACTTTCTGTTATTCTGTTAAGAATTTCAAGAAAAGACTCGGATGATCGAATCAATGACGTTGATGAGGAAACTATCAGCGGTGTTCCGAAAGCTCTCGGGCCATCAAAGATTGTGCTTTTCCATAGCTGTGGATGCAAAGATCTGAGTGTTGAGGAGTTGTTGAAATCTACAAACAATTTCAGCCAGGCAAACATTATAGGATGTGGTGGATTTGGTCTTGTGTACAAAGCAAATTTTCCCGATGGCTCGAAAGCAGCGGTCAAGAGGCTTTCTGGTGACTGTGGGCAGATGGAACGTGAATTCCAAGCGGAAGTTGAAGCATTGTCGCGAGCGGAACACAAGAATCTAGTCTCTCTTCAAGGCTACTGCAAGCATGGAAACGATCGGCTGCTTATCTACTCGTTCATGGAAAACGGAAGCTTGGACTATTGGCTACACGAGCGGGTTGACGGGAATATGACTCTCAAATGGGATGTGAGATTGAAGATAGCACAAGGCGCGGCGCGCGGGCTTGCTTACTTGCATAAAGTCTGTGAACCAAATGTTATCCATAGGGATGTGAAGTCGAGTAACATTTTGTTAGATGAGAAGTTTGAAGCTCATCTTGCGGATTTCGGGTTAGCGAGGTTGCTTAGGCCGTACGATACTCATGTGACGACTGATTTGGTGGGGACATTGGGTTATATTCCTCCCGAGTATAGCCAGTCTCTGATTGCAACATGTAGAGGAGACGTTTACAGTTTTGGCGTTGTGCTTTTGGAGCTAGTTACGGGTCGTAGACCTGTGGAAGTCTGTAAAGGGAAAAGTTGCAGAGACTTGGTGTCTTGGGTGTTTCAAATGAAGTCCGAGAAGCGTGAAGCTGAGCTTATCGATACAACAATACGCGAAAATGTGAACGAGAAAACGGTTTTGGAAATGTTGGAGATTGCTTGCAAATGCATTGATCATGAGCCTAGAAGGAGACCGTTGATCGAAGAAGTCGTTACTTGGCTTGAAGATCTTCCCATGGAGTCTGTTCAACAACAATGAAAACTCTTTTATAAGAAGCTTTCTTAGTTTCTTTGTTAATGAAGTGTAGGTTTCTTTGTTAATGAAGTGTAGATCACTAGTTTTAATCTAAGAAACTTGGGGTATACATGTAAAGCAATGAACTTTTTTTTGACTCAACATACGAATCAGACTTTTCTCATGTCATAATCCTTATGACACTTGGTAATCAACCTGACAAGCCACATGTTCCTTCTCTGGACAGTAACTTGATCCTGAAGTACTTGTGTAAGTGTATATGTAATGTGTAACACAGAGTCGTGTTCTGATGTCTGTAACAAAAATGGCAGCTTTGTTTAATGTTTAGAGAGGAATCTTCAATCCTCTCGTTGCTTCACCGCTCAAGTAAAAGGCGAATATATTCCTCTTTGCTCTGTTTTTTTTATTCAGTTGTTGTATTGTAAAGCTTGAACACTCTCTCCAGGGAAGCAATGGAGCTGGAGAGTCATCTGCGAGTATGAACGAGGCGAGAGAAGAGGCGATGGGAACAAGTACAGATACTAAAGCACCTGATGTTTCACTCAGCTATGCAGCGGATACTGCGAAAGAAGGGTTAAAACGAGCCACAGATTTAGCCAAGGAAGAGAGCGGAGACGCTGCCACGGAGGAGGCAGGAACGGTTGCAGGCGGCGAGGAGGAGAGTGAAGAGAATATGACAGTGGGTGAGATAGGAACTGTTAAGAGGGCAAAATCAATCTTGAAGCTGAAAAATGTGTCTGTACTCTGTATGTTAGGACTTAAAAAGCCAAATCAATAATGTGCTTTTAAAGTATCTTCAAATGTTAAAAGAGTTTTGACATAAAAGGAGAAACAATCAGACAATATGGTACATAACAACAACAACAACAAGAAACAACAAACATAGTTCATATATTTATAGAAAGCAAAAGCTAAAAACTAGCATCCAAAGCATTCCGTTTTATCTGTCCTTAACTCTGAATCTTGAACTTGTCAATCACCTCAAGAACGTCTCCATAACGTCAGGGAACAAACCCGAGTTGCTTCCGGAGTTATTGTTCCTAAACTCCAGTGGTGGTTGCTGATCAAGCGAGGTTGATGATGAAGAAGAATCCATTCTAGCTGGCAATGTAAAGCTTCTTCTAAACTTGTTAGGATGATGACCTTCAAGATTCAAGAACTCGTTCTGGTTTTCGACATTCATCGGGTTCTGCTCTTGGTTAAACAAAAGCCTACTAGCTTCGTCTGCACGGCCAGTCAACGCATTGAACAACGACAAGCCGTTAGGCCATTTGATGTCGTCTTCGTGTTCTTCCATTGGAGGAAGCATCTGAGGAGGAACATTGGTATCTTGAAGAAAACCGAATCGGGCTGATGCAGGTAGTTGGTTCTGAAAACTAGGGGAAGGTAACAAAGGAGAGTGTGATCCCCAGTTAAAAGCTTGAGACTGAGGTATCTGGTTTGGAACCGAAGAAGAAGATGGAGTAGTCGCGGTTCGGTTTGAAGAGAAGAGCTGCGAGAGGTAAAAACCTGATCTATAACCAATTGATTCAAACATTTGCCTCATCCTCAGCACAAAATGAAGATCTTCTGGAATCTGAAGAAACAAAACAACACACTGATCACACACCGCATAACCAAGCTAATAAGAAACCGTAAGAGAGAAAAACTCACAATCTTGCAAGAACCCAGTTGTAACAGACCATGTCCAGCTTGAATCACAGCAATTGTCTGGTCAAATATAAACACTGTTAAGGTAAGATCAAGAACAGTAAATAACCAAAAGAAGTTTGATTATTGACCTGGATTCCTGATTCGAATTGGTCGGTCCATTCTGGAGGAAGCTGTAATAAATTGGTAACCATCAAGATCATAAATTTCTACATCTAACCAAGACAAAAAAAGATTTGTGGAAGATTGAAAAACGTACAGCATCAAAAGAACTCTGCCAGTAATTAGCAAGATTTGGTTCAGATTCAGATGGTTCTTTGAAAACCCACTTGTGACATTTATCAGAAGCAACTTTACCCATCAATCTGCAGATACATATATCATATAAAAAAGATCATAACTTGTGTGTTGTATAATTATGTATCTTTAATCATAACTTAAGTGATTAGGGTGTGTTTATATAATCTAATTATCTTTCTCTCCATAATTACTTATATATAACACCTACCCAGTACCCACCCTTCTCCATAATTATATAACTGTATGGACATTTTGCTGAAAGCTTTTCTGACAAGATCTTCTTCACCTTCAATGTCTGTTTCCAGACAACTTCCTCCACCACAAAACCCATCTTCCCACATCAACATCCTTTTAAATTAATCATCACAGACAAAAACAGTTTCAGGAAGAGATCTTGAGTTGAAACAGAGCTGTTTCTGTCTCTCTTGTCCTAAAAAGCAGAGGAAATATATAAAGAGAAAAAAAAACTCACAAGCTGCCACTTTCGTCACCAATCTTGCAACCATTACCACCACGGACCCTCCTGAAATCAGAAAGTGGAACAGAAAAAAAGGTAAAGAAACAGCGAAAGATTGATGAACAGAGAGAGAGAGAAAGAGAGGTGTGTGTACGGTCGGGGACGAATGGTCCAGAAAACAGAGTAAATCCAGTCGGAGTTAAGACAGACGCTTCTAAGTGCTTCATGAAGTGCCATCATTCCTACAGCATCTTTGCTTCTATCTCCTCCAGCTCCTGAGCCCACCATGTCTCTCTCTTTGTCTTTCTCTGTCTCTCTACTTCAGAGTTCTCCAAAGACACAGCTTCTTTTGTCAAGAATCATCACAAGTCTTTAAGTCTTTAGCTTTCTTCAGACAGAGTCTCTTTTGTTTCCAAATATTTTAAAGAAAAGAAAAATAAGTTATCTTTCTCTGTGAGAGCAAAAGAGTTTTGTCAACCACAGAGTCTCATCTCTCTCTTACTTTCTCTCACTACTGTTCTTTTTTTTTTTTGTTCAGAGTCTTTTTTAGTGAACAGAATTATGTTAATCGAAATCCCGGCGACAAGTTAGGGTTTAGCCGTTTAGGGATATATATATTATTTATTTGTTGGAATATCCGTAAATATTATTTCTTTTAAGGTTATCACGATTGTCATATATAATGTCATCTCCACTTATCGATTTGCATACATAACTATTTATTTGGTCCAACTATTTTTACTGAAATATTTTGTGTTTTATTTTTATTTTTTTTGGTGTGCTTTAATTTTTTATTTATTTATTTATCACGTTTTCCTTTTTTTAATATCTTTACTTAATGAAGAAAAGAAATTATCTAAAAATTTGTGTATGGGTATTTAATTTTTTTGTTTTAGTAAACTCATGGTGGTCCGATATTTTGTTTATAAATTGAAATTCAATTATTTTTTCTGTTATTTTAATTATTGTTGGTTGAGTTTAAATCTGGATATTATGTTCTCTTAAAAACACTATCACAAATTACTATATTATATATCATGGTCTCTTTAATTGTTGTTCATTTTTTAGAAAAAAAAAAAGTAAAATTAGTTTGAAATTTCGGGTTTTGTTAAGAGAATTTTTTTTTTTTACTTAAAACATGAATGAATTTTGTTAAAATTGCATATTTGTCAAATATAGGTGTTGAGGGATGACAAAAGTGGTTCTGTTTTTGTTTTCTTTCTGGCTAGCAAGACAAATATAGGTGTTGAGGGATGACAAAAGTGGTTCTGTTTTTGTTTTCCCCTCTCATCACTCACTACCATCTCTCTTTTAAATTATTATTTTACCCTTCTTCTCCCACATAAATTACGGTTTTTGAAAAGATTAAAAAATCTAATTTTAGTTTTATGTATTCTTCGTGACTCAAATAGACACATTGGGTTGCAGATTGTTAGAATCCGACCCAAAACTAGCCCCACTTGGTCTCTCTCGATTTACGATTTACCGATCAATCATGTTGTTTTAGTTATAATTTAAACTTTAGAAGGATATTCGAGATAACGTATTCATGTCATTCTATTGAACTCTTGACTATACATGTTATAATTAGTATACTCATACATTTCATTTGGATATCGCATGGAAGTCCTAGTTGGCCTCCTGCTGAAAGGATGTATATCCAACCTAGATCGAATTTGGTCACCTCACACTAACGTTTTGGTCAAAGCATCTCACATGCTTAAAACATGCTTTGTTTAGTTAATGGTCGGACCAAGAGAAAACATATGAAATCTCTGGAAAGTTTCAAATTTAGACAATTCCGCATGAATAAAGATAGATAAGTAGAACATTTTAATCGAAAAAGGATTTTTTCGCTATCTTTATATAATTAAGCAGTTGAAAAATAAGCCTTATAACACTCATGGAACGTTTTTTTTGAAGAAACATTTGTATTGGGCCTCAAATTTTTTAGGCCCATTTTTGTTAAGATTTTTTTTTTTTTTAATTAGGCCTCAAAATTAACAAAAAAAACCCAAAAATTAGCAAAAAAATCTCATAATTAACAAAAAATATTCCACAATTAGTAAAAAAGTCTCTCAATTAACAAAAAATGTCCAGAATTTTTTTTAAAATAAGAAATAAAAATTATGAATATCTCATAATTAGTAAAAAAAAAAAGTTAGCAATTTTTATTTTTTAAAAAAGCCCCAATTTTTTTTTTCGTATTTGGCCTCGGATTTTACTGGACCGGCACTGATTATAACACTCATGCATGGAACGTTTTTTTTTGCTCCATGTTACATAAATTTAGATAAGGTAAATAACTATGTCAGATTGGGTGTATATATGTATATTGAAGATAATGTGAAACTAATTAACAGACAACAAAAATAAATATCGGAAGAAAAGAAGAAAATCTAGTGGAGCTTTAGAACCAGATAAAACCAGAAATTGAGAAAGCATAAAAGACTTTAAGCGAGAGCTAGAAAGGCACGCGAATGTCACGGTCGATGGTGGAACCAGATGTCAGATTGTATATTTGATATATATATTTTTCATATTTTTATTCATTATTATTTACCAAATAATTTCGAATTCAGGTAAGTTAGTAAGTTGTTTTCAAATTAGGTGATTAAGGAAGTTAGGAAGTTACTGTGTCGTGTTCCATGTCTTGCTCGAATATTTTTTAGCTTGTTTTTTCAACATTTCCAAGTCTTTATATGTCTAATCATTTGATATGTTTTTAACAATATATGACCGATCATTATCCTTTTAAATATCTATTATAATTTCGTGAATAATATACACAAAGGTACAGTTTTGCTCTTCATCCTATTGGTTTATTTGACAACATTTTCTACAACACAATGTACTTTATTTTTGGTTTTGCATTAGCTTCGTAAATTTCAACTTTTAAAAACTTCATATCTTAAATTTTTTGCATAGTTACGTTGGTTTAAAAAAAGATCTTTATTTCAAATTAGAGATAGTAGAAAAAATCAAACAAATACAAAGGAAAACATATGTAACTACTTTATCAAAAAAAAATATATATGTAACTAAAAAAAGAAGTGGATTTGTATTCTAATGGTTATTGTATTATCATCAGTGTTTAAATCTGTTTTAACTTTAGAAAAAGATATGGGCAATAATGACCATTTGACTATCTAAACAAGGAACAAATACTATACTAAAATGAAAAGTTACCACAGTCCAACTCTTTAAAAATCAAGGAGAACATTGCTATAGACAATATAAAGATAAAGTTTATGAAATTGAATAATAGACCACCTAATCACTGAGATCTGTCTAAAAATAAGATAATTAATTAATAGAAGAATATACTAATTTAATCAGATTAATTCAGAAAAGATAAGGAGAAGAGAGGAGGGGGTCACGTGAGCACGTGTCGTGAGCAGTGAGTCGGTGCGTCACTAATCGTGAGGAAAGCGAACCGCACGAATCGCGGGACTGTGCTTTCTCCGCCTGCGACACTCTTCACGTCCTCTCTCGTCTCATCCACGCGCCATCTCCTCCACATTCCATACGTAAAATAACATTATATATAGAGTATTGAAACAAACTTCGAAGCTATTATTAAACCTTGTTTAAGTTCATACGAGCTGGTGAAACCAGTTTAGTTATATTTTGGAACATTTTTTATAGCAACACTTCAGTTTCATATAGTTCTGGTCCAATTTAAGTAGATGTATATATTGCCTACAATAGACCACACAAAAATGTAGCCCATGCTATAGTTTTCTAGCTTAGTATTTCATCATTCTTTTTTCGTTTTTGTTTTTGTTTTTAATTAGATATTAAATGATATTTTATTATAGAAAAAATAGAATTTGTGTAAAAAATTTACGTTCGTGTTTTCACATAGATAACATAACACTATCAAAGAGTTGGTTTGATATATGTATGGCTACGTAAAACAGACTATAATGTACTATGTCAATAAATTATGTTTATGTTTGCTTTTAAGTATTTTTTACATCTAACATCGTTATTATACGGCAAACATCGTTAGTCTATCTTCCAAGACTACGATCTAGTATTCTAGTGCGTTATCGAATAATTTGCTTTACACAAAGAATGAAAGCTTAGAGGAAATGAAATTAAGAATAATTTGATTTTTCCTTAATCAGACAGACAAAGTGGCAAACAAAAAGAACGTTGGAGCGTGGATAACACGAAGCGTGTGGAAGAGGAAACTGAAAACAACAGATGTGAGTTTTTTTGGAGAATCATCAATCAACTAGGGCTCCCGCATTGACCGGTTCAGTCCCGATCTAACCTCTCTTACGACCGTATCTATGGTGGGTCCTAAATCGTATCTTATTGTGTGTTTTATTGCATATTTTTGTTTATTTAGTTTCAAAGTTAATAAAGCAAGTCTTAATTCTCAGACGGTCAGTCTCATACATAGACCTCAGTCGTAAAAAACAATTCTTAGACCTAAATATACAATCAATAGTGTAGTGACCCATTGTGAACTAATCCATTGCATCTACCTATTATTGTTTTATAAAGCCGCAATAATCATAAAATTTCACTTTTGATTTCAATAATTATTTTTAAATTTTAGTAATCATCCTTTTTTCTTGATTACGAACTTTGATTTGTTTTTTTAGTTGAATATTTTTTCCTAAAGAAAAATAGCAAGGAAGAAGCAATAATTAGAGAGGTAACCTAGTGGATCATTAATCAACAATAAATTATAAACAGAAACCACACTAGTTACGTTTTACTATAATGGTTGGATGTATAATAATTAATAAATTATACATTAACCTAGTGGATCACTTTTACTATCTACTAATCAGAGCCGGTCTTGAGGAAAAATCGAAGACATATCTGTTACAGGAATATCTCTATAGAAACATTGAGTTTTAGTTTATATACATACTACATATATAGTAAAAAAAAAAAGAGATCTTGACTGATGCACCAGCTACTATGTCACAGTTTTGATTACCAATGTAGTTTCTTTTGTAAAAGTGAGGAAATAGTGAACAAATTGAAGTATTCAATATTATAACAAATGGGTTGACGTGTAAATTAGATGCAAAATGGGTATTAATACGTAAACAGCAAGAGGAGGCATGGTTTTCTGCGATGCTTTGTGTTTTTTACCAACAAGGCAACAACGCAGCTTTCTTAGGTCCATATGCATGATGTGAGTTCTTTTAGCTTTTTGCAACACTTTATAAATAGAAAAACAACAAATTTGTGAGTCTTTTATGAGAGGAAAAACAGTTTTTTTTTCGTTTTTTATTTGATTCTACATAAACTACCATTTCCTAATCCTTTAGATCATCATGGAAATATTTCCTATATCTCGTTACACATTGCGTTTGATGTGTAGGAAGTTAGAGGATGAGATAGGCAAAAATGGGGAGAGTCATTGTCACGTGCGTTTTTGCGGTGGTTAAGAGTAGAGAGCGTGCAATATATATCTCTAGTGGGAACCAAACTGACTAAAGTACATACGAAGACCACTTCCAAGTTCCACCTTATGTTTCTGTCTTCAGACAAAAATAAATAGAGAAAAAAAAAATCTACACATTTGGCACACTTTTGCTTCTTTTCTTCTTTGTTTGCAGTTTCTTTTTTTCTTTCTCATATTCCAAATTAGACTAATATCAATGTTTACAACAACTAAGTGAAACAACAACAATTTCTGTATTAAGCTTTATATGTTAGTTTTCTTAAAAAAATTCTTATGGCTCAGCCTGTGATGGATATAAATGAATCAAACAAATGGTGTCTGGATTTAAGAAAATCTGTTGGACGAAACAAGTGAACTTGTAGGATCAAATTCGGTTTATAGACGGACCGTTCGGTTTAAAGAAAACTTCTCTATCGATCTTTACTATATTGAAGTGGAGCTTATATGGAGCAATAAGGTAAGTGGGCTTCGATATAATTAAATGGGCTTTTGTCCATATATTAACTACAACCAAGTACCCATGTTTGCTATTCTTATAAGTTCCAAAATTATCCCACATCGCTAATTTGAAAAAAACTTTTGTTGTATATAAATTGTGAGGAAGCATCATAGGTCACGACCTTACTTGAACAGGATCTGTTCTATAGGCACGTACTTCTGTTTCCTTGATTTCTCAAGAGACAGGCCCTTAACCCTGGTTGATGAACCATGACCGTGTGATCAGAGCGTGATTAACGGCCATCGATCGTCTCCGGATGCATCTGGTGCTGTAGAGGATCGTTACTCGGCTCAGTTCTACCTTGCCGGGGTGGTAGCACGGTGGTCTGACAGGTTCCTTTTTATTTTATTTTTCCCACACTCTTCTTCATTGTATGGATGCGAGGCCCTTAACCCTGGTTGATGAACCATGACCGTGCGATCAGAGCGTGATTAACGGCCACGATCGTCTCCGGATGCATCTGGTGCTGTAGAGGATCGTTACTCGGCTCAGTTCTACCTTGCCGGGGTGGTTGCACGGCGGTCTGACAGGTTCCTTTTTATTTTATTTTTCCCACACTCTTCTTCATTGTATGGATGCGAGAAGTGCTGCTCGCTTCAGAATAGCTTAGGGTGCCTTCGATTCCTGGATATAACATCGGGAATAATGGTTATGTTACTTGAGTGTGTAAGCACTTAATAAATGTGTGAGAGAGTCTGAGTGGTATGGAGTTTGTTCCTTTCTCGATTTATTTTAACAGGTCTTTATTGTTCATTTGAGTTATTGAGAGTTGCAACGTTTGGCAATATGGGTAACAATATTAATAGATGAAAGCTGCAAGGTTAAACCAGTTATGAAAACCTAGAACAAACCAATATCCATGTGAATATCTTCCATGACTGATTGAAATAGAGCACATTCTTGAATATTGAAAGTTTGAAACTATAATAAGCCTAGTTTAAAGCATTTTTAATGATGGTTTTATAGTTACTTTAAGGTAGTCTGCGTTGGTGCGAGAACATTTAGATTTGAGAAGAAAAGGAAAGAACCGATTTAGCGGAAACATTTGTGGCCAACATTTTGCATCCACAGCCGAAAACGCTTTGCAGCACATTGCTCCAACATTACCAAAGTTTCCTGTGAAAACTGATTTGTGGATTTCTGTTACACAACCTTGAACGTTGACAAGTGATGACAAACATTTAGTGAGATCGATCGAAGAACCAGGGATGACAGAGAATTGAGGTGCCGTGTGTGCGGGTGCAGCTGCGCTGATGCGAGAACAACCATCCTTAAGAAGAGGAGGGAATAACGGATTTAGCGGAAACATTTTTGGCCAACAATTTGCATCCACTTCCGTAAATGCCTTGCAGCAGATGGATCCAACGTTTTCAAACTTACCCGTTAAAGCAGATTTCAAGATTTCAATATTGCAACCTTGGACGTTGAACAGTGATGACCAACATTTTGTGAGATCAACTGGAAAAGCAGAAATAGAAGGAAATCGAGGTGTCACAAGCACCTCGGCTAGCCCCGACCTCAATAGAGTAGTGGCACACAGAGCCACGACTAGAACCATGGAGAAAGAACTACCTTGCATTGCGGTGACTATATCTTTTCTTTTATTAGTATTCTATATCGAGAAGAGAAGATGGTTTGAGATGGTCTTGTAGAATCAGAAGACTTAAATTAAAAAACATTGAAGTGTTACACTTTACACTTAATGAGTCTTCTGTTGTTACAACCTTATAATTAAAAACATTTAAGTGTTACACTTTACACGCAGAGAGTAACTTATGTTGGGGAGGTTTAGTTTTACCAATAACTTGTGGTTTGAATGTATTAATATTTGGGAGTTTTTGGTGTCTTAAAATTTGTGAGAGGAGAAGGTGTGATGTAATACATAGGAACTGGCATCTTTTGCGGAAGCTCAGGCCAAGTTAATTCCAAGTTCAGCACTTAGATAGCTGCTTCTCTTATAGAGGGCCTAGAGGTTCTATCAGGGTGACCACACCATAACCCCACAACAACAAGACACTCAGCTTGTTCCCTATTGAAATTCTCACAGAGTTTCTCGTCCATAGCTGACATAAGTTGTTGTCTTCCATACAGATCCCACACTCTCCCAACAAGACTCTTCTGAGGCTCTGTGTTTTCTTGTGAATTATCAACCGACTTTCTTCCCGTGACAATTTCTAGTAATACTAATTCCAAAGCTATATACATCAGATTCCTTGCTGGCCCGTTCCTGTCATCACATATTTCATGAGCCATGTAGCCAGAAGTTCCAGCTAATTGTGGTCGATCAATCGAGCCAGCCCAAAGTCACCTAACTTCACATTGAAATTAATGCCCAAACATGATATTGCTTGCCTTGATGTCCCACTCTTGGTGAAGATAAAGCAGCGCAGAAGATAGACCAAGAGTTATCTTGTATCTTACATCCCAGCAGAGATGGGGTCTTTTCTCAAAGAGGTGAGTATCCAAACTACCATTTGGCATGAACTCATAAATCAACAAATACTCATCGTTTTCATTACAACAACCAATGAGTTGCACCAGGTTTCCATGTCTCAGTCTTTTAACAAGAAGTTTCATTTGATCTTACTTAATCTTCCAATCAAATGAATCCTATAAAACAATCGTAAAACGATGTGACAATGCCAGTAATCAAATAAAAACGTGGAAGATGACTTCAATGCTCTCAAACTTTGTAATCATAATGAAACTAGAGAACAGGTCAATGTGGGACAAGATCAACTTACATTTCGCACGTCTTGTGACTTGACGATTGCTCCATTGACACTACTCATAGCCCTAGATTATGTTTCACAAAAGGATGATATTAACGAACGAGTCATTTGTCTATTTGAAAAGGGAATGAAATTAGGGGTTTTAAGCACCTGGGTTTATAGAAAGGAAGGGCCTTTTCGAACTAAAAGCTCTCATTCCATGGCGTAATCTGTTGATGTTGAAACTCCGTTCCCATCGACAAGTGACCAATCAATGAAGACGAGTAGACGACGATTCAGCCCCACAAAGGAAGCGACTCGAACCGAGTCCTAACCGATATATAAAAACCGGCGGTTAAAAACTAGATAACCATTCGGTTTAGACAAAGATGGAAATCTCCGGTTTTAGGACTTCTTTTCTTTCTTGATGGGCTTATAAATAAACAATCTCGTTGAATTAATAAACCCAAGAATAATCGTTTTCTTTACTGATTTGAGAGTCCCACATCGCTTGCAAACCACAGGAACAGTGATAAAACTCGACTATATAAACAGATCGAGAGCGTCTCATTAAAACTCACGGAGCCGTGCAGTGAAGACAAAGCGAACTATTCTTTCGCCTTTTACTAAAGAATACCGTGTTTTCTCTGCTCTTAGCGGCATACGCCTATTTTTGGAAAGGTTTATTACCTAAATTATAAACCTCCATCAAATCTTCAGTTTTAAAAACGTTATCAACTATGTCTCTTTTTTAATTGGGGCTATTATTGTCCGAATACAATTGCAATTTTTGTTTACCTGAAAAGCTAAAGTTAAGTTGGACTCTTCTTTTCGAGCAAAGAATATCCCACATCGGATAAGAGTTGGAGAGATGACATGTGAGTTAAGAAGATGTTTTCTGTGAAGAAGAGTTTGGCTTGTAAATTATAGCACATCAACTTTTTGCATTGTGAACTCTTTTGTACGTATAAGCTTGATAGAGTTTTTTTCGTTGCGACCTTACTTGAATAGGATCTACATAATAGGCTCCTTTATTATGGGTCTTCAAGGAAACATACACGTAATATCAAAAGGCTTGATAGAGTTTTTTTCTACTTGAATATATGATATACAAAATTTGCTCCTTCTCTTTTATCATTGGTCTTCAAGGCAACATACCCGTAATATAGAGTTTTTTTTTTAAAATATATATAGATAATAGTTGTGAGATTAAGCTAGAAACTTGATTTTTTTAAATATTATTGTAGAAAATAAAACCTAGAACAACCCAACAACCAACAAGCCAACATTTGGAATAGAGAAAATTCATGAATATAATAAGCCTAATTTAAAACATTGTGAAATGATGGTCCCATAGCTACTTCATTTGTGTGTAGGAGCGGCTGTGTTGATGCGAGAACATTCGTTTTTGAGAAGAGGAGGGAAGAACGGATTTAGTGGAAACATTTGTGGCCAACATTTTGCATCCATTGCCGACAACGCCTTGCAACACATTGGTCCAACATTATCAAACTTCCGTGTGAAAACTGATTTGTAGATTTCAGTTACGCAACCTTGAACGCTAACAAGTGATGACAAACATTTTGTGAGATCGACCGGAGAACCAGGAATAGGAAACCCAGGGATGACAAGGAATTGAGGTGTCGTGTGTGCGGGTGCACCTGCCATGATGCGAGAGCAACCATCCTTGAGAAGAGGAGGGAATAACGGATTCAACGGAAATATTTTTGGCCAACACTTTGCATCCAATTCCGTAAACGCCTTGCAGCATGTTGGTCCAACATTTTCAAACTTACCGGTTAAAGCAGATTTTAAGATTTCGATATTGCAACCTTGAACGTTGAAGATCGATGACCAACATTTTGTGAGATCAATTGGAGAACCAGGAATGGAAGGAAATCGAGATGTCACGAGCACCTCGGCTATCCCCGGCCTCAATAGAGTAGTGGCACACAGAGCCACGACTAGAATCATGGAGAAAGAAGCTTGATTTGTACCTTCCATAGCGATGGCTATATCCTTTCTTTTATTATTTTTCTATATAGAGAAGAGCAGATTATTTGAGATGGTCTTGAGAAATCAGAAGAAAGAAACTATTTATAGTGTGTGACATTATTGGGAGAGTTACACTTTTTAAGTCTTCTGTTATTACAACCTCTCAATTAAACAATGAAATGTTACACTTTACGACCAGAGTAACTTAAGTTGGGGAAGTTTTCGTTTCACCAAACAAACTTGAATTAATGCATTCAAAATTATGGTAGTTTAAATTGCAACTAGGTGACAGACTCGCGCCTTGCGTTCAATAATAATACCAGTAATTAACAACAATGGTTTTGAATCGAAACTCCATGCTCAATAAACCTTAAACACAAATCAAACAATTTAAAATCAGCAAAACAATACTGATATTGATAGTAAAATAAAAATTCACGGAAAATTCAATCACAAAATCAATATTATCTCAACAGAAAAAAAAATATCAAGATGATAAAAGTTTGAAACAATACAAAAACACCAACTGAAATGATTTATTTGGCGGCTATGGCCTAACAAATCTGAGTCATACGGTGTAGTCGAGGTTTAATATTTATAGCTTAATGTTTAGGATAAAACGTTATTCTAAAATTTTTACTTTTCATTAGAATTTTTTCATATAAGAATGTTCGCTGAATAATTTAGACTTTCTCTATAAATCTTAAAAATATTTTAAAAAAACAAAAATTCCATATTCTATATCAAATTCTTATGATTTATCAGTTACAAAATCGAAATAAAAATTGATACACTTTTCATTAAGGATTGCTTCGAAATTTTACGTGTCAACTTTCGACCAAAAAGTTTTCTTTTCCCAACTTTTAATATGGTAAAAACTTCTCAAAAAAATGTTTAGAAGATTACATATTTTGTTAAAATACTACAAAATTGTGGTATGTTTTTAAAAATGTTTTTTTGTCAACATTAAAATGTTTAAAATGTTAATTAGTGATATTTTAGTATATATATCATAATTTATTATATTTTGGTAAGATTCTAGAACATTCTTCATAGGAAGAAAAAAGGCAAATGAGGAAACAAAAAAGTCAACAATAAAAAGAATAGAAGGCAAGTTTTGGAAATGGAAAGAACACTGCTGTAAATTAAATAATTAATTGGAAACCAATTATAAAAAGGAAATCTGGACCAAAAATAAAAATAAAAAGGAATCTGTACGGTTATATAAAATTTCCAATTATAATCCTACGTGGATTATTCCACCGCCTCAAAAGAGTATATATATAAGAATGTCTTCTTGTAATCTTACACATTACACATTACAAATTAATCTCTCTTTTCTTGTACACATCATGGAAGCTACTCCAGAATTCAACTACCAAATTGATGTCAATCCTGAACGCAAAAAGATTGGCACAATCCAAGTCTATTCAAGTTTCGTCAGACCAGCCAACATGCAGCCGATACTAACCCGGTCGAACTTCTCATGTTCATTACCTGCCAATGAATTCACTGACGACGAAGATTCTCCCCACAAACAAAGACTCTATTACTTCTTAAAAGATTCAGGAGTTGATGCAGAAGATGCTTACACGTTAATAATAAAACTCACTCAACTTGCATGTAAAGTAACTTCTAATTCGTTTGAATATTGTTCACGTTATGCTTTGTTATTGTGGTTGACTCTTGATGTGGCTCCTTCGAACGAATATGAGAGGAATAGCGCGTTTAGACCCGCGAGCAAGTTGAGAGTTGAGGCCTTGAGCAGGAGAATATACAAGAGGAAACGAAAGACCAGCTCTATTGCTAACCAGTGCAAAAGATACAAGAGAAAACAAGAGAGCAGCTCTAGTGGTGACAAGTGCACAATTTGTTTTCAGAAGTTGAAAACCGGACAAGAAGTTGCTACTTTACTTTGTGGTCATGAATTTGACAATAAGTGTATTATGGAATGGTTTAAGGTTCGCCACAATTGTCCATTGTGTCGCTTCGAGTTACCACCTGAACATGATCAGGTTCCTCAACTAACTACAGTTTTCTAACTAAAATACATTCACACTTAGGTGCTTTATTTTGTTTTATATTCATATAAAGATCAATATACGGTTTTTGACATGATTAAAACACTTAATTCATTCATCATGACTAGTACTTTAGTGGTTTGTGCCAGTGTCGTTATTGTGTCACCATCCAAATTCAATCATGCGTAATGAATACGGGCATATATATATATATATATATATATTACTTTTGTTATGGGATACGAGCAAATGTTTAAAAACGCAAAGTAGTTCACAAACATTATGTTGGCTACGTCCACGAGCAAAAGAAACAAAATATTCATAAAGGGAGGAAATTTGAATGTTCTAAGAAGAACAAAATTATAGATATGATGCAACCTAGATTTAGGATAACCACTCAAAATATGTATTTATCCTTATTAGTTAGATATTTATAGCTTATCCTATTTTGATAAAACTTATCTTATAGGATTTTCATGAGTTTCATATTTAAATATAAAATATTTAAGGTTTCATGAAGTTAGACTAGTTAGACCATGAACACTGGTGATATTATTTCAGTATCATTGGCCCAAATATAATTTAATAATAGACCAAACCATAATATTGGGTCTGATACTCCACTGATACTTGTGATACTCAGATTTGTGTGACGTGGCTTCCGGTGATTGGTCTATGAAAACAGAGAAGAAAAAGAAAAAAACCATTTCTCTCTTTCGTCAGCTTCTCACTTTCTCTCTCTCTTTCGAGATCATCAAACACAATCAAAACGAAGAATCACTTGAAGAGGAAGAAGAAGAAGATCGAGAAGCTTAATGGGTTGGATCCCGTGTTCTGGGAAATCGAGCGGGAGGACTAAGACAAGGAGGAACGCTGACCAAAAACTCAACAGGAAGTCTTCTGATTGTTCTGTCTCTACTTCAGGTAATTGCTCTTTAGAGGTTTCTTAATTTCCATCCTTTGATTCTGATTTTAAGCTTCTGCAACTACAATTTTGCAAATTTGTAAGCTTTCTGATTCCTGTGAGCCATCGTTTGCTAATAATGCTGATTAGGGTTTTTGACTTTTTGTTTAAAGATTGCTTTTTTCCTTCCATTTCACTAGCTTTAGACTTCTCCGATTTTACTCTTAGTAGTAAATTTTGACCTAAATGATGTGTTATTTCAATGTCTCTTTCCGGTTAATTTGTTACTTCAGAGATTGTTCTCTAGTGGAAGTTGTGGATTAATCTAATTCTGATTCATATTATTTGATTGACATCTGAAATCCAAAAGTTTGATTTGTTGATCATTGATCGTTATTAAATTACAATCGAAGTATGTTTTGTACTTTATTGTTAAAACTAGTATAAAGGATTTAAACTCAGATAAGCAATCAATTTGCTGGTCCAGTTGCAAAAGTAGTTTATAAAACGGCTAGTTTCAAGAAACAACATTGGATCTTCTAATGATTTGTTTCTTCACATTAAGCTGTCTCATCTCAAG